AAACAGCTTACTCAATGTTTATATAAAACACGGAGCGAAACACATTGTTTCCCGACTAGTAAATACCTTTAAAGATTTTGGCCGGATATTTACGGAGAATCAAATATTTTTGTTTTTGTTATAATTATTGATTGTTGTATTTAATTATCTGAGTATGTGGTAATGTAGCACAATAAATCTACTTTACAATGATATATTGCAGTTTTCATTTTATACTATTTAAACAATAGTTAAATATAAAAATATGGTTGGCCGGATAATTTTGCATGCAACTGTATTTTACCTACAACACTGAAGGTTGCTAGGTGCTTGTTGAACTATATTTTTAAATTAATACTGTTATTATCAACATCAATATTGAACAGGAGAAATAGCGGCATCGACCATAAAGGCAAAGCCTCCTACAAAATGCCGAGAAAATATGTGAACAAAGAAAACCTTTATTGAATTCGTAAGTGAACATTTCACGTAAGTGACAGTAACTCATATTTTTTTTATATGAAAAAACTATGATCATACGTAATAAATATATTTAATTAAATGAACAATTTTAAAATCTGCAGTTGTTGAAATAGTAAGAACTTGTTCGCGTAACATTTGAAACGATGGTTGAACTTGTGGTTCCCGAATTTGGTATTTGAGCGAGAATTGATGGATGGTGCCACCGTTCATGGTTTAACACCGTGGTGTTCCTCATTTAATTGAAGTTAAGGTTTTAAAAAGGATGCGTTCGCATGTCATGCGATTTTTATGGCTTCCTGTTTCTGTATCCGAACGTGAGCTATATGCCGTACTATCGTCGAACGACTATGGTGACTGGTATTTTTTTTTTTTTTTTACTTTTTGTATCCATACCAGACTTTTCGGCGGAAATGTTGGTCCATTTTGATATTTCATTGTGTCCAACAGGGTGCTTTTTGCACCTCAATTTAATTTTTATACATGCAGGATTAGGAGTGAGAAACAGACGACCCGTTTTTACTTGCTTACCACGTTTTTTTCATTAACAATTTGAGAAAACTTACGAGTTTTCGAAAAACTTTATATGACATTATTTAAAGCACACATACTCACAAATAAAATATTGTGCACAAATTGGTGCTGATGTACATATTAATGACGTGAAGGACAAGTAAAAAATAAAATTTTGTAATTATTGAAAAAATAAAAGAATAATGGAAAATGGCTTTTATGTCACCTCATAGGCAGTATCCCTTCCAAAAGTTGAAAGAAAAATTTGGACCCAGTTTTAAGAAAATATTGTTTTTGTTCTTTTTTAAAATTGCACATACTTCACGCAATATTGTGCGAAAAGTACTAAAAGTTAAATAAAATGTACATGACATTAATGAAATAACTAACTATGGTGAACAAATTTCATTTGAAAGAAAAATCTCCATCTTTAATTTTGTATTTGTAGGAAGACGTCGAAAAAATTCCAAATTATGCGATTTTCGGAAATTAAATTAACACTGAAAATCGGACCTATACCACCATTGTAAGAGTATTTTACTCTTTTTATACAAGATACTTAAAGGAAACATTTTGAGGCCGTTTTTGAGAAAATTTTGTCCTATTAATGTTGATTATGATAGGGTGTCACTAACGACACATATCGATGATTGGGGCTGCCCAGGAAAAAACAGTTATTTTTTGAGTCACGTATGATGAAAATAAACAGGGAATGAGCTTTTAAAAACTGGATTTACGTTTGCCACGATGTAAACATAAAAAAAAACAAAGAAAAACAAAACAACAACGTTAGGTGGAAAGTTGCGCTCTCCACCATTGAGTAACTAATTTTGTAATTTCTACCTTCAGAAATGGTGAATTTATAATCCCCATTTTGAAAACATATTTAATTCTTATTATTCAGAAAGTTAAGAATAAAATAGTAAAAATTAATCATCCATATTTATCCTCATAAAACAGAAAATATTTCGTTGCTTGAATACAAATATGTGAATGTTTTTAAAAATTGAAGTTTTTCTTATAATTTTTCTTTGTAATGTAAATAAATCATTCGCAATAATCTATACAATTTACGAGCGTTGACCCTCATATAGACAAAATAATTTTTTGTGACAATGTCATTGTTATTTAATGTACAAAAATTAATGTTGATTCGTATTTTATGCGCTGCGGCACCGTTAATCCGATAGCAATAAAACCTTGTCAACTTTTTACTTGTCCTGTAATACGGGTAAGGGCGAAGAATACAGGCATAGTGCAATGTGAATGTGCGTATCTGTTGCACATAATCGCAAAATGGGGACGACTATTTTATTCATTTATGCTGACTCAAGCGCCCCTGATCAGCAGCTCTCCGCAACCCACTGCACCCTCCTGCATTAAACGCATCTTCGCTGCATATTCTGCCCCTGCGATTGTGAAATATCGGCGGAATTATTACTAGTACGTAATCTCGGGGAAGTAAATCAAATTTTTCCGAGGGTTTCATAGGTTCATAGCGAATCTACGCCCAATCATGGGAACGTTTTTACAATAGGATACTTGGCAAACATGTCCAAACCAGGACATTTAGAACAAACCCAAACTCGCGAGAAAGTATTTCATCAAATACCACTTTTGCAGAACGTAGGGTAAAACGTGATTAACAATCACATAACCACTAGCATATTTGGTGTAATACATTGCAACAGCGAAGCAATCCTTTCCTTTAATTTATGTACATAAACAAAAAGAAAAAAATACAAGTGTAATTCTTTCCCGTTATTTATTTTTCACAATTGAGTTCCTACTCATACAGTTAAGTACTTTATAAAATATTATTATTATTATTAACTAAGTACGTGCAGTGGCATTGTGAAGTTGACAGAAACGAGTGTGTAAGAAAGGCTTTACAGCTCGGTGATCCGCAATGCGGTGAAGTGAAGTATGGTGAGTTGAAGTACTATGAAAGCTTGCACAATAGAATGTTCATATTAATTTATTAAGTTTGTAAATTTTGTGAAGTTGTTAGTACTGTAATGTTGTTAGTGCATTCTGCCACCAATTTCTCAAATTTAATTGCAGAATTAGTAACAAATATATCTATGCAAGTTGCATCAACATTTTTCTTAACAAATATTGGTTGGCATCACTTTCTGAATAAAAAATCAGTAGGCTGGCGCCGGATCTCGCCATTCAGTGGGGTAAGATCACAGCCATCTCCCGCAAGAAAAACATGCATTACAGTGACTGACTGATGACAATTGGTTTATGTACCCAACATTACTAATCTATCAATTGCAATCGTTATATTTTGCATTGATGTGGACTTCATCAAATAAATAAATAAAAAAAATATATCAAAAACAATTTCTCAGAAATGTAGACTTTAAAACACAAGACTGGATGCAGCACAGATGCCTCACAGGAAAAATGGGGCTGTGTTGCCAATGGAGGGAGTCCCAGAAAATTGAATAAGAACAAATTACTGTCCCATAAACAGAATATAAACTAGTGGTGCTAAAGAATGGCAAAGACTTTCCTGTATTAGTTTTCTATTTCCTTTGGTATCGGCTAGTTATACTAATTTGCCACATACTCTTGCCAGCAGCCATCTATCGATGACTAAAGTACATTTTTTTTTGAAGTTTTCTTAATTTTTCAGTTTCCTAATGATAGAATGGAAATATTATTTTATGAATATTAAAGAACAGTAAAACCTTGTTCTAAATTACAATTTTCTTTCAAAATTTGCAGCCGTTTTTAATAAAATGGCGATTAATCGCTACTGTAAATTCCAATTTTGAAGCTCTTCTTCACAGCAAAGTTGAGTTTTCAAAAAATTTCATTTGAAGTACTTTAACTCACAAATACGTTAGTGTTTACAAATTGCTGGAAATGTGCATTATTAACAGCATTAGAGATCTTTCAAAAAAATTACATTTGTGTAATTTTTGGAAAAACGAAACAAAAAAATACCCTGGAATTAACTTTACATCACATTAAACTGTACCATTTCCACTATCTGTTTGAAGAAAAAATTTTGAGCTATTTTTGAAAAAATGGTGTTTGAACGTTTCTGAAAATGCGGAATTTTGAGCTAGTTTTCACAGAAAACTGTTGAGTTTTTGAGAAACTTTATAAGACATTAGTTAAAGCACGTGTACTCATAAATAAAATAATGTGAACAAATTTCCACTAATATAAATATTAACAATCTGAGAGAAATCAAAAAATTGTAATGTAATTTAAAAAATTATATCTTTGTAATTATTTCAAAAAACAAAAAAGTAGAGCAATATGACGTATGTCATCTTATAGAGTACATTTAGTACTATCCCTACCAAAAGTGCAAAGAAAAAATTTAGAGCCGTTTTTAAGAATTTGTATTTTTTTTAAATTGGATATTGCTTGCAATATTGCATGGAAACTACTAAAATTTTCAAAAAAAATTACATGAACTTAATGAAAGAACTAACTATGGAGAACAAATTTCTATCTTCAATTTTGTAGTTGTAGGAAGACTCCTGAAAAGTCTTGAAAGTTTCGAAAATTCAAAGATAAATCTGAAAAAAGCAGACCTAAGCCACATTTATAAGTGTATTTTAAACTATTCTCACAAGAAATTTAAAGAAAAAATTTAGAGCCGGTTTTGAAAATGTCACAAGGCCTTCCTGTAAGGTACTCCCGAATTTTACTGAATTTTTTCACAATTTCAAAGATTTGGCTGGAGCCAGATGGACAGGGGTTTCTTCAACCTGGAAACAATCCTATGCATGGTTTAGGGGCAAGTAGTGTTCGGACGGAAGAACACACAGACGTTTTGAAAAAAACAACACTTTTTCGGTATCAGGGAACCCCAAAACTTGTACTTCCATCAAAATCTCAAAATTGATTGTCTGCAGCATTACATAACATTCTCTACATTATGTATATTACTCTGTATATACGTGTATGTATATGGGAAAGTAAAAGAAAAATTCCAAGAGTTTTAAAATATAAACCTACTTGATGGTGAAGTGAGGACCAAGGGGGCGATTCATACACCTGGAGGTGATCACCTGGAGGAGGTCACTAATAAATAATAAAGCTATTGTTTCAAAATATTATGTTTTCTGGGGTACATATAAGTAATATCTATGCATTTCTTACAGAATTATTTGAATAATATCTGAAAAAAGAAAATTGGTTGTTTTCAGTTAGAATTATAAATACATTAAAAAAATAAATAACAAAAAATCGACACATTTTTTACATTTTTATTCAGCCTTTACATCTTCTAACTGAATCACTGCTCCTAATGGTGATTTAGATGTAAACAAGACAGGCATTCTACTGAGAGATGGATTTCCATCACGTTCTAAAAGTCGTATCCATGACAACAGAGAGTCTCTACTTGAAGTACCAGTGGCACAAACAGCTAAAATTGTCCCATCTTCTTGTTCATGAACTGATGGTGCCTGAACAATCTTACTGGTAGGTTGGTTAACTAGAGGAACTTCAAGACGGCTTACATCTGAAACCATAACAACATAAAAACAAGCAAGAATGAATACATTTTAAGTAACAGAAGAAAATAATAGGTGAACAAAAACAGAAAAAGTCACTAAGTAAGATATTTCAACAACAAAATAAATTAAACTTTTAGTCCCTTTTTATTAATTTAAATACTCATAAATGGAAATCTTAAAATTCTAATTTTATGGCCTCTAATAACAGTACCATCTTCGTCTTCCTTTTCTTCTTCGTATGTATGATGATAATCCGATCTAAGTATAAAGTAATTAACTTGAGCATTCCTCAACCATATTCTGAATGCACCTTCAACATATATGGGACTATTTTCTGGATTCTGAGCCAATAATTCTTTTTGTCTTGGGCTTTGCGCACTAATAATCCAGGTTTTGTCCAAAGATTCAGGAATATCTTCAGCCTACAAGAAAGAAAGGACAAAATTAATGGTCACCATCTTGTAAATACGGGTTTACAATGCTAATGAAATATCTTCTTGGCTACCCCTAACAAAAGTTCTAGAAAACCGAACATGGGATATAGGTAAGGAAGAATGTATAAAAGATTCCATTTCCTCCCCCCCCACACACACACACACACACGTAATTTGTTAACAGAAGCAGTGAAGCAGCAGATGTATATGTATCATGCATCTAATATAGTATTGATTTGTATTTCTAATTGTATTTAAATGCAAAGAAACAAAAGAATGATTAATAATTTAATTAGATGCATGATGGTAGATATATAAGATGGTAAATAATGGTAATAATAATGATAGTAGATGTGGTAGAAATAATGGTAATAATAAAGATGATAGATGATATGTAAGATGGTAAATATAATAATTCAAACATCAAAAAATAAATAATTATATAATAATCACTGAAAACTAACAGAAACCTTATATATGTTCTGAGATATAATGAAGATAGGAATTCCTGCAACTTTATAGAAGAAACATCACAAACATAAAAAAATCTCAGTCAGAATAAAGAAAAATTTTCAAATAAAATTAAAAAAATATTATTTTAAAATATTTATTTAAATGATCAAACCAATTAATTTTTTTTTTAAGTCACCAAAATATAGCTGACGGACAAAAAATATATTTCTCAAGAAATACTTTGCATCGAAAAGATACTAGATTAGTTCATTGAAAAATCATTTATTAGCATTTCATGATCTATGAATGTTTAATCAAATTGTAATAAAATGATACTGTATTCCTACTTGTATGTATCTTCTGTTGTGAATTCAAAGTAATTCATGGAACAAGTACATTTATAACATAAGGAAAATATAATTTAAACACTGCTTATGCCTCTCAGGTCTAACAAAAGGAGCATTTTTATTTCAAATTTATGTAATGTTAATGGTTTTGTCACATTAAAAGATTGAAGCAAGAAAGATTTCCAAAGGCAATATTGAATTATAAACAAAACAGGGAAAAGTGATGTGAATAGGTCACAAAAGAAATGGTTACCTCAGATACACTTAGAGGACTAAAGAGCTGCTTGTCCCAGGCCCTCGCAGAAATAAAAAATGTATTTATCTCTAATCCAAATTGAATGCTACAAGTTATTTCTGATGCATTGAGAAATTAAATCTGTTTGTCAATTGGGGGAGGAGAGAACTTTGAATGTTTGAAAAAAGTGACACCCAAGGATCAACTGCCCTAAACCTCTGGTTTTCTCTGGGCACTCCTGTCAACATGAATCAAATACCATGGACTATCTAAATTAGTACTATTTTATTTATAATTTCTTCTTCTTCTCCTTCTTCTATTTCTTCTTCTTTTCTTCTTCTTCTTTTTCTTCTTCTTATTATTATTGAAAATGTTGGTAATTTATGATATCTAATAAATTATGTAGAATCACAAAAAAATTAGTTTGTTATGTCTCAGTTTACTGTAACTTTCATTTCCTGAGGAATATTTAATGTTTGTTGCAATTACTAATTCTGCTATGTAATAATGGAAAAACGATAATAACAATAATAAAAACAACAACAATAATAATAATAAATGTTGAATGTCAATTTCATGTGGATGCCTGTGCAGTACATTAAACAATGTTCCCACATTGCCCATCCCCCATGTACAAGGAAGACCATTAGAAATTAGATGACTTGGGTTTTACGAAATGACAAAAAATTTTGTTTGCAGATAACAAAAACATAATAATCAAAGCAAAATCACAAGAATCATTAGAAAAAGAGATCCACAAAACCTTGCATACACTAGTAAAATGGTTTCAAGGCAACAAACCCATAATAAACACCTTTGATCTGATGATCGAAGAAAAATGCAAGTGGAGTGCTCACATCTCATCAAGCTTACCAAATCTTGCTACGCACTGTATACCAAGCTACAACATTGAGACATTCTGGAGAGAGTGGTTTACAAATGTGCACTCACACCTAAAATATGGAATAATATTCTGGAGAAATGTCCCTAAAAGCTCTCACCCATTTATTAACCAAAAAATAATAATGCGAACAATGACCAGCACTCATAAGTTTGTCTTGTAAACCACACTTCAAACTAAGCATTCTCCCTCTACCATGCATTCATATATATGAATTAGTGGTCTTCATGAAGAAGTTTCTCATGGAACATGAAGGCCCTTTTACTCCAAATTCTGATGCACCCAACTCTATCAATCGTTGGAAGAATAACTTAAGTCTTTCCCACTCAAATTACAGTATCAAGAATGTTCCCTGTTAAAGGGTATTGCACTTTACAACAAACTGGATCATAATGTTAAAGATATAAACACAATAAATACCTTGAAAAATAAATCAAAAGATTTTCAACTATACTTCTCCACAGTGTAAAAGATAATACAAATTACAACTCTACTCTCTCACTTTCATTTACTTTTACCTGGATTGTTAAATGCATTAGGCATTATTATCAACAATATTGTTAAATCATATTTAATTGTTACTATCACATATTTCTTGGCTATGATACAAAATATCCACAAACCTAAACTTGTCATGCAAGATTATAATTATTTATATGTCTCGATGAATGTTATTATTACTTTGCATATCGGCCATTTCTGATCAAGTTACATGCTTAACGTGCGTAACTACGGGGATCAACTTTTCAGCTGTATTGCTTGGTAAGACAAGGTTGCTATTCCTTGAATTGTGAATTACAAGGGGACAGGATAATGATGAGGGGTGAAGAGACAATCACAAATACGACTATGCCTATGCAGCACTTAAACCAGCAGCCTCCTTGGCACAGACAACGGCTGCCATACCCGCCTGTGCCAAGGGGTCTGCTTATTGTTATTATTAATAATAATATTATTGACAATACTATATAAAAATTAAATGAATCTTGAAATGTTAATTTGTTTGGTATTTAAAAAAAATATTTTACTGTTTAATATTCTATCTGTAACAAATATTGTAATTCAACTTCCTCTCTTTTTTGATCAGGTTATTCATCCAGTTTCACCTGGCCCTTTCAGCAAATACTGGTACCCTTGCTTTGTTTCAGAACAGTAAATGTAACTTCTCTTTCTATGCAAATTTTCTTGAGTTCGGCTACAAGTTCTCACTTTGTCCTAGGCATGAGAAGAGTGAAGGGTTAGATATTTGACTGCAGTAAAATGCTCCTTTCTATTTTTTGCCTAATAGGGTGCAGTAAAAGAGTGTAAACAACAACTGTTGTTGTTGTTATTAGTAAAGCCAGTACATGGATATTGAAGAAGGTCTGTAGTGCAATCAAAAATAATATTAAGAATTGTTTTATTAGTGTGTTTAATGTGTTGCCCAATAGATGATCAGCTTTTGCTCAGTGCCTGTGGTAATTATCTATTAATGGCAAGACCGCAAAGTAAAGTTTAAAGACTTTAAGTTGAAAGATATGTAATTAAAGTATTTAATTACACACTTTTATTGAAACCTACTCCTAATGCTTTCAAACAACGCAATCACCGCTTACATTGTCTGAGGAGTATCATAATTAATACTAATATTAGGTGCTGAGCTCTTAATTCATTATGATTTTATATACTCAGAAATTAACAATTATTTTCTAGGAAAATGTGAAACACATTGAAACATTTCCATGATAAAAATTGCCCATTGCCAAAAGTTTTCATACTGTTTGTTGTGTATTTCTTAAATGTTCATTCCCCCCCCTGAGATATGGTATCATTCTGGGGAAACACATCTTATACCTCCCAGACTTTTAGATTACAAAAAAGAATTGTATGGATATTACGCAAATCCCAACCACAACGATTCTTCTAAGCCTCTTTATTAATCTAGAAATTATACAGTTCCCTTGCTTCTTGATTTATGAATCAATGGTTTTTGTCAGAAATGAGGTTGGGAATTTATTTTTAGACCATACCAATGTCTGTAACAATAATACTTGATGTAGTAATCATATTAATCAGGTATGAGTTTTAACAGCTCACTTAAAAAAATTGACACACAATACATGTATATTATATTTCACAGTCCTCTGCCAGATGACATTAAACAATTAAAATCATTACCCAAGTTTAAGTGTCAAGGAAAGTTACTGTTTTAGTTTCTACAGAATTATTATTTTTATTATTAAATATTAATTTTAACAATGATATTTAGGGTAATAATTACCATATTAATTTGGACTGTATAATTCTAAACAACCTGTAAAGAGTACTGTACCTCAGCTTCTGAGTCTGAAACTGAACAAAAAATCCCGGATGAAGATTCTCATCTTCATCAGGTATTTTTTGTTCAGTTTCCCTGATTGTTTGAGTACCTCTTGTTTTGATTCTGAACATAAATTTAACTTCTCTATCAATGTACGACTTCTAGAGTTCAGTGAGAAATAGAGTTATTCAAATTATCGTTTTCTATGTCCTTGCAGCAAGTAGGGATACCTTCATAAATGGCACAATGAGGGGATAATTGCCCAAGTCTGTAGCCGATTAGCCTTTGGAAATAGTTTTTATTACATTAGATAGAATATTTTCTTCTCAATTCTTCCCCAAAATGCTCATTTCTATCTGAATTTGGAATTCATCTTGAAGATCAGTTACAGTTGGGAATCCTTAATTTCAGAAAACATGCAGAGAAAAAATATCTCCCTATGGTAAACACAGTTTTTAACTGTTTTTGATGTTAAATAAATACATTTTAATATAGATAGAAGGTCACAATTCTTTTATGTTAAAACACATAATGTTCTAATGTTATTCAATTTGTCAAAACCATTATCAGTAAAGCATTCAAATATTATTCACAGCCAAATTATCACTCGAATCTTTGTAAAACAGAGGAACAATATATCCACTTGATAACAGCTCTAGATATTTTCAACATTCTCACACAGTACTCGGATAAATGGTTTACAAACAAAACAAAGTATTTTTGAAGGGGTTGGGACTACAGTGCTAATTCACATTTCTGTAATTTTTGTCAGAGGAAAATAAAGTGTTTGTAAATTCTGACATTTCTCACTTCACGTATAAATTTCTTGCAGGTTTCTATGTACATGCACGTGTAGATCTATGAGCATGTTTGTACAGCATTTAGATCATATTTATTTTAAATACATTAAATGTGAGTTAGCTCTATGTTGTCCAGACTCTTTCATCTGATTTAAATCACCTGATAAACAGCTACTTTTGTTTCCACATCAACACTACTAATTCGTTTTATTGCCATCATTGACAGTTCAAAAGCATCAGAAGGTACTGGGTTAGGTAAAGGCCAAGGACTTAGATTTTTAAATTTTGGCATCCAGTACATCATTCGCCAATACTTTCGAAGAGGATAACCTCTGCGCCCAAATATGTTTAATAAAATTGTCTCTGTTTCTTTATCTGGGATGACACCTACACAAAAGAGACACACATTAGATGAAGCAAAAGACACAATACATACCATTTAATAGCAAAATATCACACCATTATCTTCCATTTTTTCTAGAATATCAATTGCACATTGTTGTTGTTTTGGATAATGCATGAATTCAGCCTGAAAAATATTTTGTGGGATAAATTTTCCTTTAGGAAGAATGTCTATTAATGATTTATAAACTTCCAAATCTTTATGAACATTAAATTCTTCCATATGTCGTAGAGCAGCATAAATAAATTCTACATGGCCACGTCGATGAATATCTCTTCCCTTAAACATGTCCACCATACACAGATAGGTTTCTTTATCCTTATTTTCTGAATTAAAATAATCCTGTAAAACCAATTCTTTACTTTCTTTTTCAGTACTAAAGGCAACCTTGGGAACCAGAGTTTGTACAGGGAAATCATTAAGTCTTCCATGGTAAGATATTAATACATGGTTTTGACATATCCTGTAGCATCTTGTTAAGGTGACTGCTAGTCTATAACTACTAACACACTTTCCAGATATAAACATGAATACTTTCAATAATTTTCACCAGTGCACAATTTCTGAACACATTTTGGCACATGTAGCGGAGTGGAACACTAGCGACCGTCACACATTACTGTTTTTTCAATATATACTGTTTAAAACGACTTAAATTTATATAAATAAACAAATTTACAAATATAACTTTTCAACTTTGCAACATAACCTCAGAAGCACATCTAACGAACATATGAACATCGCGGACACACATGGTAATCGATTATCGTAAACTAGGGCACGCCATAGCGGACAGCACTATCGATCTTGTGCGCAAGCGCAGATACACTAGGGAGTTTGTGCCACCTCAAGAGTAAAAGCACTATCGATCTTCTGCTCATGCGCAGTTTACGTTTCGAATCATTGTGGTGTATCTGCGCAAGCTTAGAATATCGATAGTGCTTTTACGCTCGAGGTGGCACAAACTCTCTACTTTACAATCGACTTTCCGTTTAGTGCATATGCGTAGGATGTAAGGACATGGATGGGCTGTTGCGCAACCTCTTCAGCTTCAACCAACGAACTTTATGCACCAGTATGCCTCATCATCTTAGCGGGAATTTTAAATACAAACATACCAAATAACTATCCCTTAGTTACCTTCACCTTGTCATTGACACAGATATATGACATTTTTTAAAAATATTTCATCTTTTATTTTAAATATGCCTTCATCTTGTTATTATTGGTTGTTCACTTTTGAATGTTGTCACTTTATGACACTTCCAAAATGTTTCTTACTGGTACTGCTCGCTTGCCTCCACAGAGCACACACATTGGTCTATGATTGCCACGCCGCAAGGCATAGAGTATTTTATGGCTGGCCTGTCTTTTCAAATGAAGTACTAGTGTTGTGGTCACGTGTTTCGTAACGTATCTGGTGCTGCGCGCTGCGAGCAAACACCGGCGATATATGATATATATCGGATTATATATTATGGATATATGATAAGTGTAATACTCACTCACACATAAAATTATTCTAAGAATAGAATAGAATACTTTTATAGAATTACTCTAAGAAGGAGCAAGTTTGACAGGTCAGGAAATTAATGAACTTAACACTTAACGAACTGACGATACTATTACAAGATATAGTGATGAAGCAATTTAGAGGAAGTGGGAACGGAGGCGAGGAAGACATGGAAACCATTACCACGGACACTTTTCTGGTGAGCCAGATTCCGTCAGGTCTACCTGACCGTCCCAGCACCAAGGAACCACTTCCACTCCCCTGGTTGGAGCAGAATTTTGCCTAACCTAACCTCTTGGACGATGGCAACAACCCACAAAAACAACCGAAAAATCTATCGGTACTCCCTTTCCCACCTATTCCTTTACAAAACAAATTCCCTCCACTTACCATTGATGACCTTGAACCTACTTCTCATTGCACTGAGAGCCCCTTTACTCGGCGCCTCTCAGCAGCGTCAATGATGGTGCGTCTGCTAGCAAAACATTGGTTTAAATGGAGGTTTATTCACACGCGTGGCGGAGTCGCGCTTCTGTGTCGGACACCCACCACCAACAGGACAGAAGCGTGTTCGCGCCACCGCTAGCAGAACACAGGTCTAAATGGCAGCGCTCACACGAGACGCGCCGCTGAACCGGTATTTGCCTGCTGCCTGTCTTTGTCCGTCGTCACCGCTCTTTGCCGGCTGCGCGAGCCCACAGCGGTGTGACTCACGAAACCTTCCTCTCTCGCGGTCGGGGTGGATGTGTGGGAAGTGCTCTGCTGCTTTTCGTTGGTGCCATCGAATGGCTCCGTGTGAAGGCATCCTTAAGACACTCCAAGACCCCAAAACAACCCCACATTCAATCCAAACTTCAATCAAGAACTCTAAACACAAATGACTAAATCAAAGATACGATAATTCAAAATTGGCATGGGTTCCCTGTTTCAGCGCCAATGAGCTTACCAGACTTGACGAAGAATCCCGAGACTACCATCCAAAATTCTTCTACTCCATGTCCACAACTCCATATCTGACATCTAAACCCCTTCCCATTCCCATTCCCGAAACAGGCTGGAAATCCTGTTTCAAAAAACACGAGTACACACACACACACACACACACACAAAGAAAATCCAAAACCCTACCCAAATTCCGTTAATAGAAAAATTAAAAGTGTAATGTTGTCGTGAGGACGTCTTAACCAAATACAATAACAATGATCCTGACCGTAAGTTCAAATAGAATGAAAGTTACTCAGTAGATCATTGTGTACATTACATAGCATTGCCAAGGAAGGCAGCGACACAAAATTTGAGTGATTTACCGGACGAGTAATAAACGTTTTAATTAGTTTACTATGCTTTTTACGTAACGTTAGTATGTTTTTAGTTTAATGGCAATTAGAGCAAAAACGAGAGTCTGCCGCTTTATCTCCGGAAAAAAATCCTTATGAAAAAGGGGGGCGATCACGTGAAAAGTAATGTACTACCATGTTCACCTACCATTGGCAAATTTTTCACCTACCATATGCTCGCTACGATCACCGTTGCTTCCTTTATCTTTGATTCCGGCATCTGTTAAACACAATTACGCATTCTTGGGTACTGTCGGTACAACTTCCAGTAAACATTTTAATATGCAATTACTCCAAGAACAACGACGTTTTCCGAATGAGTTAATAAGTAAGTAATGGGACATTTTATAAGATTTTACGAACGTGTGATGAATTTTCATAGATGACCTCTCCCTTTTAGAAATATAAGTTTTCTTTTAAAGTGGTAAATTAATAGGACAATGTTTATTTTCACACGTACGCCTCCCTTTTGATAAGAGTTATCCGTGAAGTTAAAGCGTCTGACTCTAGTTTTGGACTTAACTGACACAAAAACTAACTAAAAAGCAATAAATTACACGCCAGTAGATAACTTCAAATTTTGAGCCATTGCCTCCTCTAGTGTAAGCAGGGTGAGGCGGTGAGCGGATCGGAGCGGGGCCCCGCGGGGATGGGCAGAGTGGATAGGAAAGGCACGGAGCGGTTTCAAGCAACGTTGTAATAATTATAATAATATAAACTTTAAGTAGAATGGAAGCTCTTCATGAATTACTCATGCCTTTTCTTGTCTAGAAGGATTGATAATTTATTTCATGTTTTAGGGACCACTATGGTCGTTAGATCCTTAAGTGTGGTGTATGTTTTATGGCGAGGTGGCAATTATTTTCCACCTTGGATGGTGAGATCTGGCGTCGAATTACACTGGCTTGCTGGCTTTTCCTCAACCAGGTATCTCCCACCAGCGGATCACTGCCCCAGTCTGGACAAGCTCTAAGATCCCGTCTCCCGACGTGTGTGGTGGTGTAGTTCTTGTAGGTGTGCGAGGGCAGGACAAGGAAATCGAAATCGAAATTAAAATCTACGCAAACAGCCATTCTTTGCCAATTACATGTACAGATTTTAGGTCCTATTCTCTTCCTACTATTCGTAAACGATATGCCCTCGACGATTAGAAACGGAAGAACAGTTCTCTTTGCGGATGACACGAATATTCTTTGCAATAAAGAAACCGTAAATGGTACAATATAAGATATTTCAAATTGGTTCCGTATTAACAAATAAGTAGTAAATGAAAAGAAAACGGTTTCAATGCAGTTTTCCATTTCAAATAAATCACTCTGTATTCCATTGAAAATGAACGGCCATTGACTGATATTAAGGTAACAACATTATTAGGTTTTTCAATTCTGTCAAACCTTAAATAGAACGTCCAGTTAAATGAATTGAACACTAAATTAAGTTATTTATGCAACGCTTTTAGAATTCTTTCAAATTCAGTTAGCCTCCATATTGCTCGTTGTGTATATTTCGAGAATGTTTATTCCCGCCTGAGATATGGCATAATATTCTGGGGAAATACATCTTATAACTCCCAGACTTTTAGATTATAAAAAAGGATTGTACGAATAATAAGTAAATATCACCCACGTGATTCTTGTAAGCATCTCTTTATTAATCAAGGTAACTTACCATTACCTTGTCTTTCGTATATGAATCAGTGGTTTTTGTTCAAAATGACTTAAGAGCGGGAATATATTTGCAGCAAACCGTAGTAATCATATTCATTAGGTGACAGTATCTACAGCTCACTACAAAAAATTCACACACAATACATGTACATTATTTTACAACGCCTTGCCAGATGACATTAAACGACTAAATTCGATACAAAAGTTCAAGTCCCAAGTAAAATATTTTCTGTTGCACAACTATTTCTATACAATTAGAGACTATACTGAGTATCCAAAAGGTAAGTAATATTAATTTTAACAACGACATTTAGTGCATGATTTACCATTTGCATTGTATAATTCTAAAGAACTTGTAACAAGTAATTGTACTTCAGCTTTTGGGTCAATAACCCCATCTCGATCAGGTTTTCGTCCAGTTTTCCTGGTGCTTGCGCAAATGCTGAAATGGCCCCTTAGTTTGCTTCTGAACTTAAACATAAAAAAACTGCAATTTAACGTCTCCTCATAGCACGTCACACACCGTTTTTAACTGTTTTTGACGTAAATAAATAAATAAAGAAGAGGAAGGACAAATCGCGCATTATTCTTGCCCCGTTTGCTCGGGTACTTCTCCGGTATTCGCCTGGTGTTGGTTGGAGAAACCAAGGACAACTACAGCACAGAGGAGCCGGCCTCTAGAATCCTCCTCCAGACAGCGGCTGAATTCGATCTAGTCATCCAGCTAGCGTCGAAAATTCTGCCACCGCGGAGTATCGTCGGGACTCGAACGTTAGGACCTCTCGGTCAGAGGCACTGCTGTGACATCAGTTGATGCCCTAAACAGATTCAGGTCTAGAATATTGTGGGACATAAAACGACGGTAACACTGGGTACTTCGGCTAGTTTTGTACACATTTCAGATTAATTTTCAAATAAATTGCAAACATAAATGAACAGCAATTATTTATTTACAATATCGTTGTTTATTTTATGATATTATTTTGATATCTCATTTTAAAAAAAACAACAAAATCTTTTAATTACATTCCAAATGAAAAGTTAAATTCACGTTGTAATTTTTACACTAGTCTCATGTGAAATCACAATACATGTATAATTATGTAATTGAATACTGAATCAATATTAGGAATATTCTTTGGTATTTTATATTAATTTAAATTGTAAAAATATACCAACAGATGTTGAGATATCTTTCTTTTCATTCTTCATCTTAGTGTAAACAATATTAAAGGATTTTCCATTAATATTAAAAAAATAAACAAGAAAAAACGTTATCATTGTCTGATTATTATTTCAAAGTTATTTTTCTCAACCTGAACATTATATACATATAGAATTTTAAATATGTTCACAGTTTTGGTGATGCACTTCTAGTACAACTCCTAATATTAAAATATGCAGTTATTTCTTGATTTGAAATCAGTGTAAATCAGTGCATACTGTGACCCTTAGTTTTGTCAGAGATTTCATAAGAACTTTCGAATAGTTTCAGAATAACGACCACAGTAACATAATTTGCAAAAACATATTTCACTCTCATCGATATTAGCTATTTAACAGCTGCTATATCTAGTATTAAGATCTATTTCATTATCATTTAGTTTTTTTTAAGCATAGAAAAGGCATTTGATGTACAAACTATCATTAGCCATGTGCAGTTCATTTTGTGCAATAAGAGTTTATTATTATTAAGAAATACTTTAGTTTTTCTTAAAAAACGCAATGAAAAATGAATCAAACAGTTCAAAATGAAAAAAAAATCGTAAATTGAACTTAAATATACATGTGATTTTATATAATTATATTTTTTATTGTCATTTAAAAGTAATTCTAGATTTTCTGAAAAAATATTCAAAAAAGGTAATTATTGTTTTAGAATTTTAAAAGTACAAGGAAACGCGCAAATACACGAGGTTTGCAGATTGGTTGACATACTACAGCTATCATTGTTCATCTTCTGCAGAAAAGCTACCGATAAATGTAGCAAAGCAGTAGGCAATGTAACAAATATGAATCATATGATTCGTTGATCATTTTTGTTCTTGATTTTTGTTTTTGTAACTGACAAATAACAAGGAACTCACGGTGATTATTAACGAGTGTAACACTCCTCCTCTGTTCTTGTCACTAAGAAATAATATCACATTTCCTTCCACGTCCATAAATCTATCTGAGGCAAAGGTAAGCTGTTACAGTCAATTGGTTCATTTCTGAAATAAAAAAAAATAATTAAAATTAATATAAATTTGTGTGGATTGTGATAGACAATTTGAGTTTTTACAAGAGATCATCGGCACGAAGTTCGCATCAATGACTCATGTTTGACTGAGTTTATAACCAGTCATGAGAAAAAGATTTTGCCTATAGTATAGGATATTTGGATAAAATCTTACCCAGGTACACTCGGCAGAAGAAATGGATGCGGTGACACATGATGGAGAGCAACACCATCACGAAAATCACAGAGAATTCGAGCAAACCTTGTCTTCCTCAGTTCCTGCAGTTGTGCTACAAAAATGAGGAATTTTAAACGCTTCAAGGAAACTGTGTGGGCTTTAAATGCATTTTTATGAGAGATTTGATGAATTTTGGTGGTACTGTCAGTGTATTGATTCCATAAAAGCATTATACTGATTATAAATTGGGAAATTAGAGGCAAACTTTTATGAAAATGTAGTCACACCGCTACCTACCTCGGAATTCCCCGGATTGAAATAAAGGAAGTGACTGGATATTTGCATCAAAATTAAAACTAATGGTGCTAAAACTGAACACACTTTCTCGTATCATTAGTAACGGTTAAGTAATATCCTCCTAACACATGAACTTCAAATATAGTCTAACACTGCTAACCAAATGAAACCTCAGATGTTAGAAAATTTACAAGTTTAAATGAATATTGTTTCTTGCCGTGAATTGAGTGTATTGTATTATATATTTACAAAAGATCTAAAAAAGAAACAAATAAATAATATCTATATTTTCAATTGAATACGAACTCAAATTATGTGGGGGAGAATCTTGCGAACTGTCTGTGAGCCACCGTTACTCCGTATATAAAGCAGTTTACTGGGTTATAATTATCATATTCAGTAAAACCAGTCTAAGGTGGAACCTGGCGGTTAGATTTATTGTTATTGTGTTTAGTATTGTACAAGGGTATTTCTTGTTTTGTGTTATGATTTTTATCGGCAGCGTCACACAGGAAAGTGGCGACGGCGCAGATTAACACCGCCGAATAGATTAACGGTACCATTGGTCACCGTGCTGAATATATTTGAACGATGTCTGTGTTTTCTTTGTTTATAGATCAAGAAAGTTAAATTCCTCTCCCATCACCAAAACAAAGAAAATAATGATAAATATCAATTCCCTATCCTGTACAGGAGGGACTTCAGTCTTACGATTCTAACACAAATATTTCAATGCCAATGCCGCTCGTGCCGGAAAGATTAGTATTGAAATTTAACCAGACATTTTGAAATCATATGAAATAAATAATAAATGTAAAAATGATTACACTACAGATACGGCTTACAATACTTGAAGCACGGCTTAAAATACTTGAAGTAAAACAAAATAAAAATCAGTAAGGCTGTATAAAAAATAGTGTAAGACAGACGTGATAAAAGTGATTTTATTTTGCTTGTAGGATTGGGCCATGCGGCCAGCCGTCCTGGTGTCACAATCTTTCCTACTCGCAAAATAAAAGGTTACTTTATTACCACTTTTTCACTTTATTTGTAACAAATTTGTAGTTCTCGTTTTGTGATGATGGAAATTATATCCTCCAAATCCTTCAGCCTTCTCATAGAAAGACACACATAAGCAAAATGCGCTCAAGAGATTTAAAATTTCAATTTTCGAAAGTTCACAGGTTTTAATGATAATCGATACCTAATATTTTAATATTCCACCATCTATCCTGCTTCACAAAACTACAGCCATTGAAATACTCAAACGATATAAATAAAAATTACGTAAAAAATCTATCTTCAATTCTGATATTGATAGAAAATTTAAACTTTTGCCAAATTCGGTAGTACAAAGATTTTAAAGAAATGGAGTATTTAAAAAATGGGGAGAATTTGAAAATATCGCGGTGGTTTACAAACAGTTTTCCAAATATTGAAGAATCGACTCAAAATCGAGTTACCGCGACACAATAACATTTTCTTAAAATAGAGGAATTATTGGTATTGTGCAAAAATTTCACTTGAGATTTTGACTCAAATACTTAAGCTCAAAGTTTATGAGCTGTTTCACCAGGCTTTCTACTCATATTATGCGAATGATTAATTATCATTACAATAGAATGTCGGTCTCCCTCTTGCCATCTAGGGTTCGATAGGCCTCCTTAATATATTTAAATTAAATTTGATGAAATTTTTATTTACATACCTGGTGTGAATGAGTTGGGTAGGTTGCCGAACTCGTAATAAAAACGATCTCCTTTCTTCAGTCGCGAAAATTGATCGGCTATAACTCCCTAAAAATTGTGAAAGCTCAATATTATAATTAAAAGAGTTGTATGGTATTTCATGAATTTCATTCATTTTAATTTTTTTCGAATTGTTTTGTTTTTGTGCATGCTATCATTTGTATGTGCACAAAATTAAATGAATGTCGATGCATGTTGAACTTAAACATTGAATATTGTCAATGTTACAAGAAATTTTGCTTTATTAGAATATACAGTACCATGTCAATGGATTCACAATTTTATAACAATTTAAACTTTTTTATAGAAATAAAGTTGCGGTATTGAATGAAACTATTATTTAATACCTGAAATGATGGACCCACTACAGAGTCATATGCAGGTCGTTCTAAAAGACCACCAACATAAAAGTCCACGTCCTGGGGACTTGCATATATTTGTTGCAAGAGATGTATTCCCTGCAGAATAAAACTATCAATTAATTTTACCTCTAATTTGCTAATCCATAAACGATCACACGAACTCCGCAATTATACAAGATGTCACCATAAATTTAAAAATTGGAAATATTTTAAAGGGTGCTGAATAAATTCATTTTGGGCCTTTTTCTGGTTCCAGGTCAATCCATCCACAGAAAAAGACGCATTAACCCAAAGTCCATAGTAAAAATGTTCACACCTTAATATCCACTGCATAATGTCCCTGAATGGAATGACTTCATCAAAACAGTTCACAAGGAAGTCCATTGAATAATGGCTTCAAACCAAAATGTAAAATTAGCAGATATGTATTGTCTTCATAAATACATAACATTCATATTCCATTTTAGCATTCGTATTAGAAATATGTTGGTTTAGAAATTAAATTCAATTTTTGAGGTAATCCGCAATCGCAACATATTTTTTCACGGAAAAAGAAGAAATTTATGTATTGAAAAAAATAGAATTGGAAGTGTTCCGAAAGGGTTTTTTTAATAAAACATTATTATCCTCATCATTTCTCTGAGCGTTAATTACAGTGGGCATTATATGTTACGGGCCATTTAGATACTGGGCATTTCTGCAATGGACAGTGGACATAACTTGGACGAAACCTACGTATTGGACCTTTAAGGAAGTGTATATTTATAATAATGAACATTTTTACGATTGGACATTTTGGCAGTGGACGTTTTCTTTTAGATCAATTGACTGATAACCCTAGACATGCCATGAGCGGGGCGATGGGGAGCGGGGCGATGGGGAGCGGGTCGCTTCCCTCGCTCCCCATCGTCGCGCCCCATCGCCACTCCCCCATTACGCCCCACTCCCCCATCGCGCCCGCTCACCCATCGCCCCCGACCTCCCCATCGCTCCCGCCTCCCCATCGCCCGCCAGCCCCCCCCATCCGCCCCGCCTCCCCTCGCCCCGCTCCCCCATCGCCCCACGCTTCCGCCATCGCCCCGCTCCCCATCGCGCCTCCGCTCACCCCATCTGCGCGCCCCATCCCCGATTCCCTATCCTTTCATCTCCATCGCCGCCGCCCCGCTCCCCATCGCCCCCGCTCATGCATGTCTAGGCGTATCAGTCAATTGCATTCTAAAAAGAAAATCTGCCAACTGGCCTAAACTTTATGTCCAATCGTAAAAATGCTTCATTATTATAAATTAACCACTTCCTTAAAGGTCCAATACGTAGGGTTCGTCAAGTTATGTCACTTCTCCATTGCAGAAATGCCCAGTATCTAATGGACCGTAAACCTATAAATGCCCACTGTAATTAACCTCAGGAGAAATGATGAGGATAAATAATGTTTTATTAAAAAAACCTTTCGGAAACACTTCAAATTCTATTTTTTCAAATACATTAAATTTCTTTTTTTTTCCGTCGTGAAAAAATATGTTGCGATGCGATTACCTCAAAAATTGAAATTTAATTCTGAACCACATATGTCTAATACGGAATGCTAAATGCGAATATGATGTTATGTATTTATGAAGACAATACATATCGTGCTAATTTTAACCATTTTTGGTATTTTTTCGAAGCCTTATTTCAATGACCTCAGCATTCTCTTCCTTCTGTGCAACTGTTTATGATGAAGTCATTCCATCAGGGGCATTATCAGTGGATATTAAGCGTAGTGAACATTTTTTACTATGACTTTGGCCGTTAATGACGTCCTTTTTCTGTGGATGGATTGACCCTGGAACCAGAAAAAGGCCCAAAAGTGAATTTATTCAGCACCCCTTAAATATCTTTCCAATTTTTAAATTTATGGTGACATCTTGATAATTTTGCGGATTCGTGTGATCGTTTATGGATTAGCATTAGAGGTAAATTAAGTGATAGTTTTATTCTTTATGCAGGGATACTACATACTCTTGGCACAAATATATGCCAAGGTCCCCAGGGACGTGGACTTTTATGTTGGTGGTCTTTTAGAACGACCCTGCATATGAACTCTGTCAGTGCGGCTCCATCATTTCAGGTATTAAATAATAGTTTCATTTCAATACCGCCAACTTTAATTTCTATAAAAAAGTTTAAATTGTTATAAAATTGTGCAATCCATGACATGGTACTGTATATTACTAATAAAGCGCAAAATTTCTTGTAACATTGACAATATTCAATGTTAAGTTCAACAATGCATCGACATTCATTTAATTTTGGTGCACATACAAATGATATGCAATGCACAAAAAACAAAACAATTCGAAAAAAATTAAAATGAATGAAATTCTGAAATACCATACAACTCTTTAATTATAATATGAGCTTTCACAATTTTTAGGGCAGTTATAGCCGGATCAATTTTCGGTCGACTGAAGAAAGGAGATCGTTTTTATACGAGTTCGGCAACCTACCCAACTCATTCCACACCAGTATGTAAATATACAAATTTCATCAAATTTTTAATTTAAATATATTAAGGCACGGCCTATCGAACCCTAGATGGCAAGAGGGAGACCGACATTCTATATGTAGTAATGATAATTAAATCATCGCATCCATATGAGTAGAAAGCGCTGGTGAAACAGCCTCATAAACTTTGAGATTAATGTATTTGAGGTCAAAATCTACAAGTGAAATTTTGTCACAATATCCAATAATTCGCTTCTATTTAAAGAAAATGTTATTTGTGTCGCGGCTAACTCCGATTTTGCAGTCCGATTCTCATATTTGAAAACTGTTTTGTAAACCACCGCGATATTTTTCAAATTCTCCGCATTTAAATACTGCCATTTCTTATAAAATCTTGTACTACCGAATTTGGCAAAAGTTTAAAATTTTCTATCGACTATCAGAATTGAAGCATAGAATTTTTTACGCTAATTTTTTATTTATATCGTTGAGTTATTTCAATGGCTGTAAGTTTTGTGAAGCAGGCATAGATGGTTGGAATATTAAAATTATTAGGTATCGATTATCATATAAACCTTGTGACTTCGAAAATTGAAATTTATAAATCTCTTGAGCGCATTTTGCTTATGTGCTGCTTTCTATGAGAGGCTGAAGGATTTGCTGAGGATATAATTTCCATCATTCACAAAACGAGAAACTACACAATTTGTTACAAATAAAGTGAAAAAAGTGGCTAAATAAAGTAACCTTTTATTTTGCGAGTAGGAAAGCATTGTACACACACGGAAAGGCTGCCGCATGGCCCAATCCTACAAGCCAAAATAAAATCCACTTTTAATCACGTCATGTCTTATCACTATTTTTTAATAACAGCCTTACTGATTTTATTTGTTTTAACTTTCAAGTATTTTAAGCCGTGCTTCAAGTATTGTAAGCCGTATCTGTAGTGTAATCATTTTTACAATTTATTATTTTAATTTCATATGATTTCAAAAAATGTTCTGGTTAAATTCAATACTAATCTTTTCCGCACGAGCGGCATTGGGCATTGCAATATTTGTGTTAGAATCGTAAGACTGAAAAGTCCCTCCCTGTACAGGATAAGGGAATGTGGATATTTATCATTATTTTCTTTGCTTTTGGTGATGGGAGAAGGAATTTAACTTTCTTGATCTATAAAACAAAGAAAAACACAGACCATCGTTCAACGAATCATATTCAGATTCACAGGTTACCAATGGTACTGAGTTAATATTACCTACATTTCGGGCGGTGTTAATCTGCCGCCAGATCGCCATCTTTCCTGTGTGACTGTCTCGCCTCTCCGATAAAAATCATAACCAAAAACAAGATAATACCATTTTGTACAAATACTAGACTCACAAACTACAATATAATCTAAACGCCAGGTTCCACCTTAGACTGGTTTTTACTGAAATAATGATAATTATTATACCTCCATGAACTGCTTTATATTGAGAAACAGGAGAGTATACGGTGGCTCAAGCAGACAGGTGACGCAAAGATTCTCTCCCACATAATTTGGAGTTCGTATTCAATTGAAAATCATAGATATTATTTTATGTTTCTTTTTTAGATCTTTTGTTTAAAATAATATTATTTTATACATATACCACTCAATTCACGCAAGAAACAATATTCATTATAAAACTTGTAAATTTTCTAACATCTGAGGTATTTTTCATTTGTTAGCAGTGTTAGACTATATTTGAAGTTCAGTGTTAGGAAGGTATTACTTAACCGTTACTAATGATACGAGAAGGTGTGTTCAGTTTTTAGCACCATTAGTTTTAAATTTTGATGGCAAATGATCCAGTCACTTACTTTATTTTCAATACCGGGGTAATTCCGAGGTAGGTCGCGGTGTGAACTACATTTTCATAAAAGTTTTGCCTCTAATTTCCCAATTTATCATCAGTATAATGCTTTTATGGAATCAATACACAAGCCAGTAACCAACCAAAATTCCATCAAATCTCTCATAAAAATGCATTTAAAAGCCACACAAGTTTCCTTGAAGCGTTTAAATTCCCCTCATTTTTGTAAGGCCAACTGCAGGAACTGAGGAAGACAAGGTTTGCTCGAATTCTCTGTGATTTTCGGTGTGGTGTTGGGCTCTCCATCATGTGTCACCGCATCCCTTTCTTTCTGCGAGTGTACTGGGTAAAGAATTTAATCCAAATATCCTTATACTATAGGCAAAATCTTTTTTCAATGAGGTTATAAACTCAGTCAAACATGAGTCATTGATGCGAACTTTTTTCGTGGCCGATGATCCCCACACATCCTTCATTTTTGAACCACGGCGAACTGAATCGAAAAAACGTTATCATTAAACATTCGCCCCATTTCTTAATATTCATCAACCGTAATAAAGGAATAGACATGTACTGTACGCATAATTACAAATCTCTTTCTTCGTCGTAACCATTAATCACTAAATGTTAGTGAAATTGTATCAACGGAAAATCAGCGGAACGCGAAATGGAAACTTTTTGTTGAAATTCATGAATGACAACTAAAAATTGTTCTTTCATATTACATGTAATAGATATTTTTGAGAATCTTGAAAGAAGAATTATAATTGCTTAAAGTAAGTTTATCAAATGGATTCTTATGTATTTGAGCAGCTGATGTACTGAACTTAATCA